TTAAGTAATCCTTCTTTTGTAAATGGTTTGTGATCTGTTCTTAATTCTACTCATATTGAATGCATATACATGCACCCACAAATATATCTCTGTGTTTTCTATTTATTCTCATGTATCTGTTGAGATATTCTTGTGTGCCAGTGCTGTTTCATGTATTGTGTCTTTATAATATGTTCTAATATTTATAATATGTTTCAATATATTTAAAATGTATTTTAAATCATGTTTAGAGCCACCTAGGTTACATTTCTCTTTTACGCCACATTGGTTATTTTTTAGTGGCTGATTTTGAAGAAAGTTGGCATTTTAGATAATTTTGTCCTTTTTTTTTTTCACTTCTCTCCTCAACTAAGTCACCTGTTTATTTAATTATCATCATGAGGGATTACAAGCATTTTTAAAAGCCTTGAGACACCTTTTAAAATAATAATTAACTCATTATAAAATAACGGAAATAATATAGCCTGAAAAATAAATCTTTATCAAAGAGTCACTAAATTAAACTTCACTCTTCTCTAACTTCTACAACAATTTAATGTGTGACTTACGGATCTATGCCCATAAACAGGTGACTTGCAGCCTATGGTAAGTCTAGTAGTACCCTGGCATTCATGTCTAGAATGTTTTGAAAGCCACTGATTCACCAAGCTGCAACATTTTCCCAACATAATGACTGTCTATATGTGTGAAGGGAGGATTAAAGAGAATTGAATATCCATTAAATAATATGGGGCCACAATTCTGGGAAAAGAGTCATTGCTTCACATTTAGACAATTCCTAGGAACAGGAGAGCATCAAGGGGGAAAAGGCATGGGCGGGGAATGAAACTGAGGAAAGGGAAGCCGGAAAGACAGAAAAATGACAGGTGAGCAGAGGTGAATTGCAGAGGTGGGCATCTGAAAGCAACTGATGAGATGTCACCCCCAATGCTATCTGTGTCTTTCACAACTTCAGACATCTGTGCCCATCCAAGGAGGGGAAGAGAATTAGAAAACCAAGCTCAGGACCTTGTTACGTAGCTGTTTTATTCTAACAAGGGGTGCTTCATTTAAATATAATGCTGTTTGCTCTGTGCAAAACTGAAACTGATACATTTGTAAAGGTTTCTTTGTACTGTTTCTAATCTATAATTTAACAGATTTGTTCCACCAGAACAAACATTTGCTGAATGTCATGGAAATGGTTTTGAAAAGTATAATGTCAGCAAGATCGTCTCGGAACACAACAGTTGAAAAAGGCAGCACCTGTATGCGGAAATACACAGACCCGCCCACAAAATGGGCAACGTCTCAGAGACAGCACCGCAGCCACGCTGGTATTCTTTCCAACACTTTCCTTTTTTTTTTTTTTCCTGTCCTTAAGACATGCCCGCAAACTCTCCTCATATTCTGCACAAGCAAGGGGCATTAATCACCCAAGTCTACATGCCCATTTGTCCAGAATTGTTGCCTATGAGCCATCCTTTGAATAAGTTATACTCCTGACCTTTCTGATCAATAAGATGAATGATAAAGGCAAAGGCTTGTGGTTTACAGCTTCGTAGAAGTTGCCATCTCCTCTGAGTAGTTAAAATAAATAATTCCTTTAGTGTTATTCATTGCCTCCTGCAAGCGATATCTGTGTGTGTGTGCGTGAGAGCAAGATGTACTGTGTCTTCTTACCTTTGATGTTTGGTCTTGTTTGGGTGCTGCTCTTTTGACAAGCTTTCAAAAGCCCCCTACTATGAATGTCGAATTAAGTACCCTTATGAATATGCATGAACATAAACCTCATATACTCATTTTGGTGGCTACTCACTGTGCTGGGTTGCCCTGGAAGCCATTCCAAATGGTTTTGATTTTGCGTCTGAGATTCCTAATGGTGGTAATTATCTGCTGCAGCCATGCAGTACCAAATACGATGCGTGTTAGAGATACTTTAAAAAATAATAATAAAAACGACTGAAGATGCTAATTCCCACATTTTAGTTCCTACAGGGCAATTAGCCTCTAGTAATGATGTTTATATTTATATGCAAATGTTTCAGGAAAAATGAATCTTAACAGAGACTTCATATCAATACCATTGGGAGACGAGAGAATTCCATCTGTCTGTAGAAAATGCCTGCCATTAGCTCTACATGTAGCCTATTTCTGTAATAGAAACTATTTAATCTTAAGTAATTCATTCTTCATTTTGTGTTATTTTCCCTTCCTTCTGTTCTTTTATTAAGACTCTTAACTAATGTACAGTATGTGTTGCTCTTCAGGGCTGACACAAAGGTGCCCTGCCACATTTTCTTCTGAGCATCGTCTGTCGTTTGAATTATTACCTCACATCCTAGCCATTCCTCATTTTGGGATAATAATTGAGGAGCACTTACTTGTTAATATCCTCTGTTTTAGCGATTGCTACAACATGAAAAGATGGAAATACAATGAAGAACCAAAGTTGTGCACTATAGCTGGAGATTTTGACTAGCTCCTGGCTTGTCCATGTGGCAAGTGAAACTTATAGACTTTCCACGAACTCCCTGCTTAATTGGAGTTAGGGAGCAAGCTCAGTCTAGAGCCAGCTTCATAAAGCAACACGCTTTCTACTCCAAGACAATCTCTTAATACACAGGATCTTCTAATAACGGATCATTTTTTCCTGTTCTCCCTTTGTTTCCATCAGACATTTTAAACCATCAATCGGTAATTCAGTTACTGAGCTAAAGTCACTGGATAGACTGCTTGCTTAGCTTAGGTATGTTTTTCTGCCAAGGAATAAAGTGATATCCATTATTTCATTTAGGAAGTATTATTTGTCACATGTTTTAAAGACCAGTCAGGAAGAGTTTCGTTTTAGGTATCAGAAACAGAGTCTCTAAATCCACGACTACAGAAAACATAATTGTTAACCAAGTCTAGAACTCTAGAGGTCTACCCAATATTGTAAAAGCACTTAAGGTTTCAAATTTTGTTTAGAATAATGACAAGAGAAAAAAATGCAAAGAGCAGTATCACAAGAAAACTGTGTCATATTTATAGCACATTTATAGTAGAAATTTCTTTAAGAATAGTAACTTGTAAAGGCACAGTTAGAATTTGGTGAATCTACTAAACCAAGTTCAGGTGTATGTTAATTACCCACAACTTTCCACAGTAAAAGGTGCACCCATTTGACATCTGTGTATACATTTTTCCCCTTTAACCTAGGGTAAACAAGTAAGGAAGCCACCCCAGAATTTCTAAACAAGAGCTAAAATGACACAAATGAACAAAATATTTCAAAACACAGATGCTCATTGTCACTGACAGTCAAAATCTGGAATGAAGGAGTCTGGGAAAGGGCGAAATTCAGCATCCTGCCAGTGGAAAAATCTCATTAGAATCTCTTGAGATTTATCTGTCACTCTGACAGGATAATTTGATTTTAAATTCCATCACTGCTAGCCCTAATTTTTAAAATTAGATTGCAAAAAAGAAAAAGTGACTTCTTTTTCTCCCATATAATGAATAATAGGATACTATGAATCAAAATCAAGGTTGCCATTAATCAGAAATTACAGGGAAAAGATCTGAAAAATTTTAGGGTTTGAGGGAAGCAGAAAAGGTTCCCTCCCTCACTCTCCCACCCCTCGTGGAACCAGAGTAAAGATCAGTTAAAAGAGATTCTTTATGAAGTTTAATTCGGAGCATCAGAAGTTTCTCATCAGTGTAGAATTTCAAGACTTTCCTAAGCCGTCTGGTTTCCTTCAATAGAGCAACACTTATTCAACCCCACGCTGAGCCCATTTAGTGCAGTATTATCATAATTCATTTCTCAATGAGAGTTTTTCAGGCCGTAGACAAAACATGGTAAAATGTCAAACACAGCCTTACTTTCAGGTGTTACAGTTGGTACCTACAGTCACATAAATCTTATAAAAATCCAATCTCTTCTCTTCCCCTTTTTCAATAAGGGGCAAATAAACAATTTAATGCCAGTGATGGATGCAAGTAATGCCACTTTCAGAAGCTGATCTACTTGAAGATCACTGCCTGCTTTTCCAGCTGTATTTCTGTAAAGCACCTTGGAATCCAGGTTTTCTCAGGCCCACAGTGATAATCAAACTTCTGTCTTGACCAAAATGGAACAGAATGCCGTATCTTGAGAATTGCTTTTTTTTTTTTTTTACATTTTCAGATAACACACTTCAAACACTTTCCAAATATTAACATTTCTAAAGAATGAAGACTTAATGTCAACCTGCTAGTTAGGGAATTGGGTTCGTGAAAGGTGAGCAGAAGTTTTCCATACAAAGTAAGAGAAGTCGGAGGTGACTCTCTTACAGCCTCGTCATAATTTAGCAGAACCAGCTCTGATTGGCTCACCTTCCAACAGAGTTCTCCCTGGTAACACACACTTTCTCTTTAGGGAGCTGTGTTTCTCATGCCCGGGACCTATCACTCTTTTAAGTCCCATTTCCAAGTTCCTCCCTGCCACATGTCTGCTTCTAGGTAAACGAATTAAGAGACAAACTATCTTCTGTCACTTATTAAAACATCACTGTACCTCCCTAGGAAACAGACCATGTAAGAAACAGCCTCTCCCTTAATTGAAACTTAGAACCAAATGCTTCATACAATTTAGTATTTTTACATTTTGAGACATCCTGGTTCTACTTTCTGAGAGACATCAAAATACTAAAAAAAATTAGCGTATTCACATTTTTCAAACGGGATCACACTTTCTACTTGGTAACACAGGCAGATTAAGTCCTTTGATAAAGTATTTTAATATTTAATATGTATATGCATTCATAGCATTCATTTCTATATATACATATGTATACATGCACATGCATATGTGTCTGTATTGTATGTCAAATCTCAAAGAGTCACTAGCTTCACCACTGAACTGAGAATTAAGGAAATTTGAATCAGAAACGTGAATTCACTTTACTCCCATTTATCAAGGAAACTCCAACAGTAATTATTTTAAATGATAGCTTTGTATATTGTTCAGATTTTAGAAGCTTAAGGAAAGCACTTACCTTACAAAGGTGAGATTCCTCTCCCATACGTGTGATCTCTCAGGACACCTTCCTGATTCTTCCTAAGCGGTGTGGCTTTAATAGCAGCTTCCCACCTGTTGCAAAATTAGAATTGGGATTTTTTTTTTAATACAGAAAAATAATCACTTTGTTCAAGTTTTATATTCGTGTAATCAATAAACTTGTAAAAAATGTCAATACATACACACAGGATTTGGGGTGTTAAATCATCCACCATGACCTTTTATTTTTTTCTGGACAACTGTCTAGAAAATATGGCAACTGTCATACATAATAAAACACAAATGATGGAAAAGTGATATGAAAAAATTGCATTGAGATAGATACTCTTAAGGGCCCTCATCAGAGATGTTCAGCTCTTGTCTTCAGGAAAAAAACTCCTCAAAGATTTCACCTTCACCCTGAACGTAGCTGTGACAAGCCGGTCAAGGTCCACTGAATCCAATTAGAGCAGTTTTCTGGGAAAGGAATTGTGATTCTTGACAATATTAGGGCAAAATACTGCAAGCTGTTTTAACTTCAAGGAGGGCAGTGGTAGCTACACTCATCTTTAGTCTGTGGCTTAAAACTGTGTCGGCAAGCCGTGGCAGAAACAGAGTATTTGTCAAGCTTTACTGGATCCAGCCATTGGTTGTTCTGCCCTGGAAGGCTGTCATTTGTTTATATTCTGTTGCATAAAATCAGGAGAATGTTTAGGGGCTAGAAAAATTGAGAGCAGTGGACAGAGAAGTCAATGTTGTCTGTCCTAAGTGAATAGAGGGCTGATGTTCTGTGAATCTTACAGGAAAGGACTCACAAGATTTACCAACTCAGAGACCTGAGAGATACCAGTTCTTCTTCACTCTGTCAGCTCTTCAATAACCCCTGACAAATCCATCTCCTGAAAGTCTCCTTGTGTGTCCCTCCTATTACACATCTCCTGCCGTTTCCCCCATTATCTGACTGTGCACCACAGCAAACTCCTTCTGAGTAGTCACCGTCACCCAGTTCACTCTGCACTCGGCCAGAAGCTTCTTCCTCAAACACACATATAAACGTGCCGACCTGTGACTTATTTCACATCCAGAGTTCTTCATTCTGAGACCCTCAAGGAAAAATAGACTATCCTTCACGATCTGACTTTCGCCTCTTTTGAAGATTCATCTTTTGAATGCCTCTACCCTTTCCCAGTTTATTTTGAGCTCCAGCAATACCACGCTTTATGGCGTCTACAAACTTATACTGCAAGGACGGTTCGTTCTGCCTTTTAAACCACCTAGAAAAGTTCCATTTGTTTTTCTAAGATCTGCTCTGAGATGTTACCTTCTCAGACACCTTCCCCCGCTTTGCCTCCTGACAGCGTAAGCACCCTTTCCTCCAAGACGCCTCTATAGCTGGTGCTTAGCGTACTCGTCTGGTTACATGTCTAGAGTGCCCCCTTGAACGTGAGTCTTTTGGTCTAAGTCCCATATATCATTCATCTTCAGTTCTGAAGTGCTGAGCACAGTGCCTGATCTATCAAGGAAATGCATCTCGAATTGAGTCCAAAGACCTTTCCTTTTTCCTTTTCCATATACTAATGAAGATAAAAACGTCTCAAGTCAATACTGAGCATCCCCAGTGCTTAAAGATCTTTTGAACTCTAATTCAAGTGGAGGGTAGTAGATGGCTGATGAGAACCTAGTGTTTTGATTCTGCAATTGCACCCAATATGTTTCCAGGTGATGGATTCTATTGCCTTACCTTCATCATACTGGAGTCCCCCCCTAAATGCTCAGATTAATCTCCAAAGGGAGTTTTGTGTTCTCTAAAAGTGCCTTAAAAAAGTTATTGGAGTATAGTCCTCAGTTTTACCTGAATTCCTGCCATTCAACAGATAATCTGTCAAGGCTGCACACGGCCTAATGGACTATGATTAACTGACTGCCATGGATGATACTTTTAGCAATTCCTGGGGCGTTGAAGGAAAAAGGAGAAAGAAAAGGAACAGAGAGAGAAAAAAAGACTGCTTTATTCCTGAACATCCAATGGCCACCCATCTGTACGTAGGTAAGCTCAATGAATACATTTCGTCCTCCCTGGATTTAATCTCCACAGGTACTGCTGGATAGATATTTGTTCCCATCAGGTTAATATTTTCACAGCTAATATTTGGTAAATAAAATCAATGCAACATCTGTGCTGGGTTTTGTTTGTCTACATTAAAGGAGGCCGGATGGGATGGAGTGAATCACATAATTATACCAGTCCCTTCGCCTGCTCTCCCATGCTGGACATGAAGCTGTAGTATCAGTATAAACCGCGTCTGATCAACATGCAGGAGGAATGCAAAGGCACTCGCAGGTTTTTCTAATGCTCTTTTCTACCTTTCGAAATTGAGTGGCTTCCTCTAATCCTCCTGAAACTTCACACCTCACACCCCTTCAAAGCCCAGTGCTCACACATGGTAGCATTAGAGGAGAGATTATTAAAGACCCCCATCGGAACTGTGGCCTATTCATTTTCTGTGTAAACCGTGGGGTTCCTGTGCAGACAGGGATGTGCCAACACAGACCCAGACAGCTGCTGCACTAAAGCTGCTCCGAGTGCAGGTGGGGAAACAGCTTGTGATATTAACAAGACTAGATCCTTCTCGTGGCTTTCTATAGCCTTTATTTAAAATACAGAAAAACGCTTTCAAAGACTTATTTATAACTGTATCAAGCACAGATTGCACCAACATTATGCTGCAATGAGCACATGTGTTATTCATACTGATATTAAGTATTTTTCTTTTTGGAAATAGCCAAAAGGAAAAAAAGAATGTTTCCTGGGGATGATTTCAGATAGGAGCTACTAAAACCCTATCAGCAAAGCTAACGTGGGTGAAAATAGCTCTTTCAAAATTTCTTAAAAATCATGAAAACAAATAAACAAAAAGATTCGGTGTAAACAGTGAAATTGAGACGTAAGAAACAAAAATTTTTAGACAAAGGTTTTACAGATACCACAGCTGTCACATGCTTTTTTTCTCCTTCATATAAAGATCATAATTAAATTAAATGAAATATTCCACATCACTATATACATACATTTTAACTTCTTTTTTTAACTCAGTAACCCTTAGCAGAGTTCTTAATATTAAATATACTCATTTTTTCCCCTGAAGTTTTATTAATCTCCTACTGTGTGTCACAGTTAAGTATTAGGACCCACATAAAAATGTCCAAGCTATGTCATTGGCTTTAAGGAACACACACCTCTTTGGGAAAACACAAACATTCATTAAGTGTCAATGAGAATTAAAAGTGGCAATAATAATAGTTATGGGCCAAAAAATGCAGACTCAGCCATGCAATAGGTATGTAATTTTCAGAAATTTACTTAAAGTCTCTGGCCTCAGTTTACTTATCTTTAAAATGAAGGTCAAAATACAGTCTATCTTAAGGGCTTTCCTGAGAAATAAAGGAGCATTTAAAAATGATCAGCCATAGAGTAAGCACTCAGGAAATAGGAGTTGTTATGATCCTATAGTAATTTATATAAGTTGGGCTTATCTGGGAAAGACACTGACTATGGAACTACACAGAATAAAATGACTTTTTTGCACTCAGAGCACTGGAAATATTTGATGTAATAATAAGGGGAGAGAAGACATCTCAGGTTGAGGGACAATATTGAGCAAAGTCATGAAACTATGAATAAGCAAAAGACGTGTTTTATAAAGTGACAAGAGTCATAGGAGATATATTTGAAAGGGAGGAATGAATGCGTAGAAAATCTGGATGCTACACTGGTAAATGGTTATCAAAGAGAGACATAAATGGATAGAGTGAAGGACAAAACTCAGAAGACTTCCTCTAGCATTTTTACTCAATCATTTTCACCCTTGAGTCATTTTCAGATTTTTTTTTTAAGTTTCAAATTTCTGCTGAAGTTACGATTTTATTTGACTTTCCAGTGATATTCACTCCCAGCTCAAAACTGTAAGTTGCCCACCTTGCTCCACTGTATGCACATATTCACATTGCTGTAAGTCAGTTGAATTTCCATAATATTCCCATTTTCCTACAACTTGACCTTTATTCCTTTTTCTTAAAAAATGCATTTTAAATTTTGGTCATTCCAAGCATCTCAAATGTCTATGTTAGCATAATCATACACAAGCACACATACCCCCCTCTCTCTCTCAGGTTTAACTTCAAAGGGAATTTTGATTTACTGTTGGGTATTTACTGGTTTTACAGTCTTGGGCAACCATTTATTCACTTTGAGTGTCAGTTTTCTCAGTTACAGAAAAACTAGAAATAATGCCTGCTTTATCAGCAAGGAACAATGAAGGTAACAGGAAACAGACCAAAGCCATGAAGTTAGTATGAAATATGAAATAAATATTGCTATTATTTTATTATTCTTAATATTATGCTTTCAGAACAATCTTCAGAAAAAATCTTTCAATATATCCATAGTAGTCAAAAATGATTGCTGAAATGTTTTTTAAATGGAGAGCAAAGCCAATTGAAGTCATATCCTTACAGAAAACTCATCTCACCATCAGGAAACATTAACACAGTCTACTCTTACAAATAAAGGAGAAACAATTGTTTCAATACATATTTTGGGGTTTTTTTTGTTTCAATGTTGGCGCCAAGTATTTTCAAGGTGAAAAAGCTAACTTAAAAATTACAGTGGGATTATATTAATAAAATTTAAAATTGGGTTACATAATTCAAAATTTAAAAATTTTGAATGAGAGAAAATTTAAAAAAAATCTAGAATTGGAATTATCAATGTTTATCCTTTATTACATGTGTTTTTATCAAATAATCATCTGACTGT